CACTACAACCTCACAGGGTGGTCTGGAAACAGCAGGGAAAATCTTCAACTGTGGAAAATATTCTGGGATCTTTAATTGTCACATGGATGGGAAGGGAGTGTGGTAGGTGGATTCCTTGCTAGCCCATCTACCCAAAATATTGTGAGACTGAAAGAAGTTTGATAGAATTTGAAACTGATGACATGAGACTTGGAAAATCAGATTTTTTTAGCCCCTTAGGCTCTCCTTTACTACATGATATGCCTTAACTATATTTGATTCAAGCTTGCTTTTGTGTAGCAGTAAGCACAGATACTTTTTCTTCATTTCAGCATAAGAGAAGGAAGCTTTTTTTTAACTCATTAAACTTTTTATTGGAAGAATTTGTTAAAATTAACCTTGTTAGAGATATTTTGGACATCTTAAACCTATTTAAACCTATTCATGACAGTGGCTAGTACATTCAAAAAAAATAAATTAAAAAATTAAATTTCCTCAATTGCACCAGGTAATGCTGTCTTTCAGCAAAGGAAACCATGCCACCTGGTGGAGAGCTGAAGTACTTATCTTCCCACAGAGCAGCAACTTCTGCAAAGATTGTAGCACTGCAAAAATGCCAGTTTTGGGAAAAGTGTGTCTCATAATTAATGTAATTCTTGTAAGAGAAGTGATTTATGCAGCAATGTAGTTAAGCATTCAAAATTCTCCATAAACAACAAATGTTTCTCTATACATAATGTGCTTAAGATGCAGTTCAGAGCTTCATATCCCTGGCATCTTGGTGCAGGTTGTCTGCACAAGGCCATAAAAGTGAAGGGGAAGCAGGAAAAAGGGGAGAATGATTACATCCAGCTTCTTGATTTCAGTAATTTATTTTGGTAGGAATTTCTTGAAGACATGGCTCATTGTGCTTGACAAGGATCCTAATTCTGCATGTGAAACATGCACAATTGGAAATGAGTTTTGAATTGGTACTTCCCAGGAGACAGATCATAACCTTCCTGGTTAATTTATAGAGCAACCTGTGCCTTCCTAATTGAGTTTCAAGGGAGGTAAAAAAGATGCTTTTACCAATCCTGGACTGTAAATTCCTCTGGACTGTCTCTTTTTACATTGTTGTAAAGTATGATGGCCATGTGTCAAAGTATAAAAATGCTAAATTTTTTCCTTGTGATCAGGCAAAGAAACTAAACCTTCTGGGAAACCTCACTCTGTCCCTAGGAATGGGATGAAAAATGGAAAGTGCCTGTAACTCAATTTCTCCAAAATCTTTTCAGAATTGGCCTGTTTGGCCTGACATTTGGGCTTACCTTTATTCTCTCCTTTTAAATGTGGGTTTCTGCTAAGGCTTAATGTAGTCGTCTTGTCTTAAGCGTGGATTTTCAAATTCCCTGTCCACATTACCCTGTTCAGCAGAACTTCACTTTCCAGCCTTGCAATTTTAGAGTAGTTTCAGTTATACAGCAATGTCTAAGAATGGGAAGAATGTATTTATACCTGCAAAGTACTAGGCAGTTGCTCCAAAAGTCTGTTTTCTGCTTTAGAAACCAGTAAGTGCTTAGGAGCTCAAAGGAAGAGAATGAGACAGTTTTCAAGAAGGGTAGAGGAAGGAGGTGCTCATACCAGGTATTTAAATTTAATAACTTACCTAGAGGTGAATGAAAACACAGTTAAAGATGTAGGAAGTGAGTTGTTGATGAACTCCTACATATTATCTGGGTTTTAGAGATTAACCAGTTGGGCTTTTTGGAGTGATGAGGGATATTTCTGACGAGCTGACTTGTCAGACCACTTGTGGCTGTCTTGAACATGGCCTGTAAATAGCACCAACCAAAATAATTTTATGAAATACCATGTGTTCCCCAAAGAGTTAATACCCATCTCTCTGCTGTTTTTCTTGCCATGGAGGCAGGTATGTGTGTTTTGCAGACATCCTACATTTGCTTGTTTCTGGTGTTCTCCAGCAGCAAATAGCCTGGCTAGACACAGGACTATTTGTAAATAATCAGCGTGTCTCCTTGGTGGTGGTGATGATGATTCTGGTTTCTGATGCAAGTGAAGACTTCACCAGAGAGGAGGAGGTTTTGCCATGTGTAGTAATTCCAAGAAAGGATCATCTTTTCACATTAAATCCATAATTCTCTCTCACAATTAGAGTAGCTTCTAAAATTATTGCTGCAAACAGGGAGTATTCAACATTTTCCAGCTGTTTCACAGTCCACCTTGTGCTGCATATAATCTTCTCATGAAGCACTACAAAAAGCCTCAGTTCATTTCAATTAGTGGACTCAATTAATTAAATCTGAGGAATTTATTCCTACTTAAGTCTCCTTACAAAAGAAAGATGACATCTAAAAGAAAAATTAGGCATCTTCAACAGTTTTTCTTCCAAAATGGTACTTCTGCTTAATTTTGGAATAGGAATTTGTTTCTTTCAAAAACAATCTGTGCTTTTCATTCCCTAAGAAATAGGACCTGTTACAGGGCAGAGGACTAGAAGAGATCTTCAATCCATTCCTTTACCTTTATAGGGAACCACAATATATAATCCCATGTATTAATTTCAAGTTTTTTCTTAAACATTTTTGGTTTGGGTTTTTTGGGGGGTTTTTTTGCCTTGACTAGTTTTACTGACAAACTGATTCAAGTATTACCTTCCTTTGATGGTCAAAACCCCTTTAACCTAAACTTTTTGAGGCCATTTTTTATCCTGTTG